GGGAGAGCGAGCGAGCAAGAGCAAGAGAGAGAGCGAGAGAGAGAGAGAGAGAGAGAAGTAAACGTGATTGAAATAACTAAAATGGGCATCATTAAAATGACTTATCAAAAAAGGACTGATAGAAGTATTGACCTTAAGAAGTTCCTGGCATTGTTTGCTTACCTCCGGTGGATGCATAACAGACAAAACATTTTGTGCAGCATTTAAGGTTGCTTAGACATGTTACCATTAACAGGTATCAGCACAAAATTCAAGGAAAAAGAGGAATTTAGAATTTACCCCACAAGAGTCACAACCAAACCCACTATGAATGCTGGACCAATGTAATTTCTCCATATCTTCCCACCATGGCGGATTATCATTTGAGGAGATAGATATACTTTGTTGGCCATCTTCCATGGAACCTAGGAGAAATCAGCATAAGAAACCATGCAAAAATGAAATATGAGAACCATAAACATCAGTGAAGCCAACAAAAACACCCTAACATCCAGTTTAGCATCACCAGTGAAGGAGAATAGTAATTTTGGCAAATATGTCTTTCTATCATCTTTGATGTTATGACACTGGAAATATCATAAGCAACAAAAAGATGGCACAAAGTAAACTAAGGTGGATTGTTAAATCAGTTTGAAGTGCTAAACAATGAGACATACAACTAGCAGTGTCATGCTTGATAAGGACTTCTTTGACAGCATCTCTTCTCAATGAATATTCCTTGGGGAACTTTTCTTCCAAGAAATGATCAACCTCCAAACAAACTTTTGGAAACCTCCTTGGCTCTAAACTACAACATACTTGACATCTAAGCATTTCATCAGTGGGGTTGAAAAGACAAGCTTCACAGTAAACTGGACAGCAGGAAATAAAATCAGTTTAGCAAGCATCAACAGAAATATTCTGGCTGCAGTTATTACTGAACTTAGAACCAAAGTGCATGTATACCATGGCCACAATTAAGAACCACGGGATGAAACAGCAATTGCTTGCATGCAGCACACAGCAAATCAGCAACTGAAATCTGCTCAGGTATCCCATTAATCTTATTCTGACATAACTTGTTTCCTTCAATAGATCTGGATTTGATTGCTTCAGGTCTTTGTTTTATATCATGCAGAGAATTGTCTTTAACCCTTGAACCAGATTCCGATTGCTCAGCATTGGAACAATGTTGGCCACTTGTTTCTTTTGACGAACAAAATTTTTGTATTAGCATCTTAAAAACAACACAAAGCTGCAAGCAGCCACAAGACAGAGGACCTGAACATGAGTTGGACCCAAAACCTGCAATAGATGGATCTGCGGATTTTCCAGATTCTCCTTGGCTATCAATTTTTTCATTGGTATGGGGTTCACATGCAGGGCAGTCAAACCGTGGAGAGAAAATGTGACACGCTCTTTCTTCCTCTGGAACATGGACAAAATCAGAAATTAACAGAGACACCTACCAAGTAAGCCCAGCCTATATCTTTTCTCCATACTTTTTTGTATATAACTACACATGGGGTGCTATGTTTAAGATTGCTTATTTGCTACCTATAATCAGCTTTAAACATCTTACTCCAGTTTACTTATTTGTTAACCCTACTTAACAAGTTCTTAGAAGTGACTTAAGTAGTACAAAAATAAGCACACTATTCTTAACTTTTCACTTTCTTATCTTTTCCCTCATAAATTTACTTAAAATACCTATTGAAATCCACTCAGAAATAACAATTTGTAGATAATAATATAGGTTACTAGGTATTTGTAAATAATTACTTATTTTACATTATCTTTTTTACTAAAAGACTGCAATTCTTGCCAGAACATAATAGCTTATTTTTTGAATAAGAATCGATTTACAAGTAACTTAAAGCAATCTAATGCTTTAGGTAAATTTCTTTCAACAATCCCAAATAGTCTCTAAATTAATCATGCAATAAGAAATGACTTAGCTAGAGTTTACTGACAGATGAGTTTATTGACAATCAGTCGTTTCTCTTTAACTTTTGCCTTTGTCACAATGCCTCCACACCTTCTTCGTCATTCTAAAGGTCAGTCATCTTGGAATCTGTTTTTCCTAGAAACCTCAATGATTGTTGTACCATCGATACATGTTCGTTAATCTTTTTGAGCCTTTCAACTAAACCTTATCGAAGAATTTGTTCTTTAGATTCTTCAGGTGTTTACACTAACAAATCTCTTTTACATACCTCACTTAGGATCCTTCAAAACATGCGTCCGTCACAATTTTTTTTTGGCAGCTGAATGCTTCCTTCAGGTAAAAGATTTTGTTTGGAGAGTTGTTCTTAATAGATTTAGCTCTTTCTCCAAACGTATGTTATGCATTATTGGTGGGCTAGGTTCCATAACATTCTTTTCTTGCATTGCGAGTGTGGCCTAAAGGTTATGGGCAAGATTTTACAATATTTTGGTGTTAAGTTGGTCTCTCCTCCTCCTCTTGAGTGTTTCATATCCTTCCTTCTTTGTGGTTTTAAGAAGACCAAGAAGAGGATGCTTTTGAGAAGAGTTCTTTTTATTGGTTTATTGGCGCTTTGATCGGAGAGAAGTGCTATATATTAGAGACTTTTTGTTACCCCATTCGCTTCTTTTGAACATGATGAACCTTCTGAACTTGCATTGGACTAAGGCAAATGGGTATTCCAAAGATATCTCTTTGACTATTTTGCAAAGACATTGGATTGCAAATCTGTATTGATTTCGATTTTAGTTCTCCCTAATAATGTATTTTTTCATTAAAAAATTAGTTTGATGATGACAATGCTAATGATGATGAAATAAATAATGACATTGATATTCTGTCAACTTTTTTATTTTGATAGTACTTGTGTAATTTGTTTTAATTACATGTGATGTTGTTATAGACTCCTTTGTGGGTCGCTCTTATTGCAGAAAAGAAAATAAGAAGCTGGATATGATTTAGATTTATCTTATTTTAAAAACCTGTCTATTAGTTAAGAAAACTTATCTCTTATTTATGAATTAATTTTTATTATATGGTTAAGGTTTATCCTATTCTAAAAACATATCTCTTAGTTAAAAAAATTTATCTCTTATTTAGGAATTTAATTTTTATTTTGGAGACTTATCTCTTAATTAGGAATATCTTTAACTTATTGTTTTGAGAAGCCTAAGTAATAAAAGTTTCCTATAATGTAATGCATCTAATCCTATTTAAAAGACTCTAAAATTAATAAAGAGATAAGCAGAATTATAATGACAATATAGGGATCGGAACTCTCTCTAATGAGGTCCAAGGTGCCAAACTCCCTTTGATGAGTTTGGAAATAATTCACAATAGATCACTTAAGGAATCATAACAAAGGAAAGAAGCAACATCCGGAATCAGATTATTCGGTGAACCGCCCAGTGACAAGATCCTGGTCTCAAGAACATAACAGATGTTTATAGTTTTCTGTAATTATTTCATAATTTTTACAGCTTTAATTCTTTTAGTAAGTAAATAAATTGAACATGCAAAATACAGTTTGATCAATCTGATACTTACCTATTTTATGAATGTTTATTCATATCAAATTGATCGTAAGTCAATTAAGCTAATCTAACTTGTTAGATAAACGGGTTAACCTGTAACAAAAATAGTTCAAATGCGAGTCCAGAATCATGAAAAATTGTTAAATTGGTTGTGTTTGTCTCTGGGATAGGTGTCAACCTTACCTAGAATACTGTCTTCTCTCTTCTTATAATTGACAGGATACATCTTCATGAGCAGGAAGTGAAGCATTTGACAGATGGATGGGAAGTGATCATAGGGATGCCTACAGATTGGACAACGGGACTCACGCCGACCACTCATTGATTTATGGACACACCAAAAACATGCAATGTGACCACAAGCTGCAAACAAAAGTGAAAAATAAACTGAGGATAGAAACGTGAAGACAAACAAACTTATAAGAAATTCTTGTTTTTAATTTAAACAATTATGTCTCTTACCCAACACTATGGGCTTGTATAGAAGCTCCCTGCAATCAACAGAAAGTAAGTTCAGACTCAATATCATCCATTAGTTGGCAAAAAACGAAAAGAACCAGAGAGAACAATATATAAAGCCACAAAGGGTAGAACCCTCTTATTTAAATTCTTTGCTTATGAGAAGAACTAAAACCATAATAGAGTCAATCTAGCAGAGACTTTCCAGAAACAAACCGGGTTGCTTCTCTCGCCAATTCTATATATCACCATTTGGTAATTACCAGCAAAAGTAAACTAAGCAATAATCATGAAAAACTGACTAAAAAATAATCATAATCAACTAGCTTTCACAATTTATCTTATCATACATAACAACCAAGTGAACAGATATTGAAAAAAAAAAAGACCAGAAAGCCCGAATTTAAGAGGAAGAAAACATTTGTTGTTGACGAATAGTTGCAAACCACGAATGGAACATAAAACATCAAATTAATGAAGGATAGTGCAGGATTAGGGAACTCACAAGCAAACGCAGCAAAGAAAGGAGTCCGATATTTGCTCCGATTCGATTTCTTTTGATCTTGGGTCTTCCATTGAAAAACCTCAATCGAAAAGGGTTCAATCAGTCGATGATAAATGAGGAGGAGTTCACAAGCAAACGCAGCAAAGAAAGGAGTCCGCTATTTGCTCCGATTCGATTTCGCTTAATTTTGGGACTTCCATTGAAAAACCTTAATCGAAAAAGGGTTCAATCAGTGGATGATAAATGAAGAGGAGTTTGATGAAAACGTACTGAGTGCACAGTTGACAGCCAGCAATATCAAAAGGATAAAAGAGGAAAACGGGAGAGAGAAACGGGTCGGGTTGCGTCGTGGATCAACAGAAGGTGGCGGTGGGTGACTGCAGTGCCGACTTATGATTCTATTAAATTCTAAACAGATGCAGCTAATTTTAATAACACACACACACACACACATATATATATATGTATGTATTTCTGTGGATAAAATCAGAGAGTTGGAAGTTAAGAAAGATATAATCGATTTATTTTTGCTTGGTTATAAACCATTCGGAGTGTTCTTTTATTTAGTAGGTAAATACAAATATTTATAAATATATACCTTTTTACATTTTTATGTATTCAAAAATAAAATTAAAAAAAAAAAAAGAATTGAAAATTTTTTGAGATAAAATTTTTGTATTTTATCTTCACTAAGGTTGTTTAAGCTTCCGTTTCCTAATAAAACATAGTATTAACAAAATAAGAAGATAAGTAGATATAATAATTAGGCTAAAATTTATTGGTTATTGTAGATTTAATAATAATAAATTATTGTTTTTTAAAATTAATTTCGTTAATTATAAAATTGATTAGATAACAATAAGTTATAAACTTGTTGGTTATTTTAATTGTTAATGATTTTATTAATTATTTTTAATTAAACTTGATAATTGAAAAAAACAAAAAAAATCATCTGAATCCAAACCAAAATGTTATCATCCCTATTTTTACTAATTATTAAGTAAATAATTACTACGCTACAGGATTAATACTGAAATATATGATGAGTTTTTTTTTTAATGGATTGGGAATATCCTTGTGTCAAATGAAATGTTTTGTATTCAGTTTAAGAAGTTGATTAAATGATTTTCAAATCTCCAACAGCGTGCCTTGAATGGAAAGTGTCCTGACTTTTAACTCAGTTTTACTTTGAATGGAAATAATAAGTCTGAAAAGAGAACTACAAAAGCGTGGTGGTTTAAGGGATGAAAACTAGTTACTGGGCTCTGAAGGATAAAAAATTTATATTTCAGTAAACAAATTTCATTTAAAATTTTAAGTTGTTGAAACAATTTTGTAATTTCATAAATAAAGTTTTAAAAAAAAAATATTTTGAAATTAAATTACAATATGAATAAAAATTGATCCTATCTAGACCAATTAATAATTTTAAATATAAAAACTTCAGATACTAAATTATAAATAATTATATGTGTATTATGTAAACTTCTTCTACTTAAAGATCCGGATGCAGACGGACACTCACCACTTCACTTCCACTCTTACCTTCGAATTTTAAAGCCTTGATTTATTATAATGCAAATGTAGAATGTTTATTATTGACGTAAAGAACAGTTTTATTAGCTCTAGTACAGTTTCTTATAAATTTTTTTTACTCAGTTGCTAGTAATTTAAATACTATTTATGTAAGTGTGATATTTTGTGTAGAGTATAATTTACACAATTTTTTTTTTTTGTCACAATTAAGAAAAGAAACGTCAAACAAATATCAGAAAGACTGTAGATTTAAGCCACCACAAAAAGGTTTCACACTCCATTTAAGTAAACTATTTAACTATAAATGTGCCAAGAAGCACAGAGTAGAGCAAACATATATACTTCCTATGTTGAAACCCTTCCCAAACTTTAAATGACTAAATTTACAAGCCGAAGGGTCCCCGGGAGCTAGGTTGATTAGTAACGGTCTATCTGGACACTTATAAGTATTTCACAGTCTATCTGATACTTATAATGAAAAATATGCCACAACTATCACCTTCAGCACACAGTCTGCCCCGTGTAGCAGAATTCCAAGAGAAAAAGGTAATACTTGCCATCAAACTTAGTCATTAAACTATTATAATTGACTTTTTTTCCCTCTATAACAAACACAATCTCTAAACAGCTTGTTATTGCATTCTTCTCCAGAATCTAAGGATTGGTACCTCTCCAGAATCTAATTATTGGTACCTCGTGGGGACAGGGAGATTGCCATAAGATCCATCCCTTGTATATTTGTGGACCTATTTCCATAGCTTTACTGAACTGTCATGACTTGCAGATGCCACCATTCCTCTGACAGGTGATTGGGCCAATGCTGAAATTATATTCTCATGCGCTGCAATTGTCATGCTCTTATTCTCAGCTATGTTCCAGAGTTCCAGTGACTGCAACAAGCCAAGAAACGAGAAAGTTACTATATAAGCCCTCGATTTAAAGAACACAAGATATAGTTATTCTTGTTCAATATGCTCTGGAACCATGCCAATTTGTCAATACAACTAAAAGGCTAATGTCCTACTTTACAGATGCTCTGAAAGGCTTATACTACATCAAAGGTTCCCAACATTTGGTATTAGTTATACTACACTACCATTTTTTTGGGATACCCTTATCTTGTGTTGAAAAGATATACAATTGATGAGTTCAGTTTGAGTTACTCACTACTAACTACTCATAACTTAATCTGACTTTTAAGAACCAATGGTTTGAGCTAAAATGGTTGCTGAAACAATGGTGGATGGACTCAGAATTCCAAATAATAATAGAGTATTTACCAACATGATCACTGTATACTGGTGCATTTTTAGACCTTACGAGACGTTAATATTATGATAGATGACCTTGACAAGTACTTCAAAGACTTTTCATTATAACCAATGGCCTTTAAAAAGTCACTGAGCAAATGGCAACTAGACCCAGAGTGCTTTTATTTACATGAAAACATGTGCTAACACAGGGATGGGCAATCTTGGACCTTATGAGACTTATGACTCTGACAAATGAACTCGATGAGTAAATTAAAGAGTCTTCATGTTGGCACACTCTTTGACCTTACAGAGAATTTAATTCAACACAATCTATCAAGAACATCATAAATTTTAGTGGAGAGGACTGTGATGTCCTTGTCTCACAATGAAAAGAAATGTGATAAATGTTCTAAAAATGTAAGGATTCAAGGCATTCTTACTAATAATTTGTGCTTAGGTTTTTTTGAGGGACAGTAACTTGAACTTAAAAGTTGTTAGGTTAGTAATATTGAGCCTCTAAGATTTAGATTTCTGGTGTTGATGCAGCATGACTGGTTAAAACAGCTCAGGCAAGTCCTTCTTTTATGACCTAGTTCCTCCACCACAGTACCCTCCAATTAGATTTACTGATGAATTTTAGGTTTTGGCTATTGGAGGATCCTAAGTATTCTGTTTCAAGAATGGGATGAATGAAGAGAGGGCCACTGTCTACTCAATTACTTGGGGACAAGCCCCTTCTTTGAAAGGGAAAAGGTATTTATAGGCTCTTTATAGACAAGGAAATCACCAGAATTGATGTCATATTTATAGGAAAATGTAAATAAGACAAACAAAAGTAAAGAAGGTACCGAGATTCCTCCAATGACCAAAAGAGTTGAGTAACTAGGGTGAAAAACACAAGAATGAAATTGGTTGCTATTGGAGCTTAACTCCTGGATACAATCCCCTGAAGCCACCGACCAAATCTTCACCAAGTTCTGACTGACTGATGCCAGATAATCTCCATTAGCATCCCAGCATATATAGTTAACCATTTCAGGGTGCCCCTGTAGATAATATGGAAACCTTAAAATTTGAAACCAGCTAAATAATTGATATCTGAAACACAATAAAAATCAGCTCTTCAACCTCAATCACCAGATAGATGCAGTATCTCATGGTTAATACCTGAAATGAGTATGTTTGCCTGTCAGTTTCGACATCAAAAATTGACACTACTTTATCAGATGCTGCAGCTAATGTTTGTCCAGTTCTTGGTTGAAATCGCACTTGTGCAGTACCTCCCTACATCAGGCAAATTTACTTGAATGTGGCACAATTTAATTGTCCAATCCAATTGACTGAAATCCATCACAAATTGATGGCTCTTAAGCAGGAAAGCACAGACATGTACCTTAGAAATTCGAGTGCAGGAGAATGTATTGATATTCCAATATTGAATTTCATTGTCATTATCACAGAAGCAGAAAAGATCTGTCTTCTTAGGATGGAAGTCAAGGGACATTACTGGGGAACTATGTGCAGTGTATGCTCGCACACAAAAGCTTGGCTGCCACAATTAGTTCATAAGTTAACAAAGCACCTATAGAAATAAAGCTTGGATGCAAAGGTTACGATTGTGAGATCACAGAATTATGATTCAACTACTAAGCAGAAGAGTCAAAGAGTTACATTTGCTGCATCCCATAACCGCACAGATTTATCAACTGAAGTTGTTACCAGCTGAGATGAGTTTGGCCTAAAGCGAACATCTGTTATAACTACTTTGTGTTCTTCAGGCGTGCTTTCAGTTTGTAGGGTATCCATGTTCCAGAGAACAACCTGGTCGAAACAAATGCAAGTCACAATATTTGCCTTTTGGGCCAATAACTAATATCAATTAACTTTAATTCAGTTGCTAGACACATGCAAAAGTAACAAGCAGGCCAAACTCAATGATCTGATTAAGACTTTGGATACAGATTCAAAAATGTTTCACAATGTAAAAAGTTCCCTAATTCTTCTTCCCTCTTTTACTTTTTTTTTTTGTCAGGGGAAGGAGGGAAGGATGGAAGAAGAGGTGTGGAGGGACTCGTTGACTGCCTTGTGACACAAGCATGGAGCTCCTCAATCAGCACCGAAAGTCTCATCAGTATATGGACATGGAGCCCATCATTTTCATTGCATTAGGCACTGTTCAAGCAATCCTACTTAATTTATCAAAGAATTACTGTTATAAGAGGTGTTACCAAAGTTGATTGTACCAAAACAAGAGGAATATATAAGTCAGTAAACAAGTTACATTCTTCAGCTTGGTAATGTTTTTGTTAAACATGGGGATAACTTTTTCTGCTATGCATTATACCTTCTTGTCATGTCCAGCACTGGCTAGCAACTTCCCATCAGAAGAAAAATGACAGCAAGTGACTTTGCTATTTCTAGTCCGTATGCAACCAACTTCCCCAAAGGTAAAACCTGCTATGGACAATATGAGTATAGCTGAAGTAATTTCATTTTTGAAATAAATTATAGCTGAAGTAAAATTAAAAGGCAATATGAACTGAGTACAAACAGCTTTTAGAATAGTTACTTTTAGCCGGCTCTTTTTGCTCGCTAACACTCTGTTTTAGGGCT